TGTGTGTGTGTTTGGTGTGTGTGTGTGTGTGTGTGTGTGTGTGTGTGTGTGTGTGTGTGTGTGTGTGTGTGTGTGTGTTTGGTGTGTGTGTGTGTGTGTGTTTGGTGTGTGTGTGTGTGTGTGTTTGGTGTGTGTGTGTGTGTGTGTGTGTTTGGTGTGTGTGTGTGTGTTTGGTGTGTGTGTGTGTGTTTGGTGTGTGTGTGTGTGTGTTTGGTGTGTGTGTGTGTGTTTGGTGTGTGTGTGGTTGGGTAGTGTGTGTGTGTGTGTAGGTGTGTGTGTGTTGTGTTTGGTGGTGTGTGTGTGTGTGGTGTGTGGTGTGGGGTGTGTGTGTGGTGTGTGTGTGTTTTGTGTGTGGGTGTGTGTGTGTGTGTGTGTAGTGATGTGTGTGTTGTGTGTGTTGTGTGTTTTGGGTGTTGTTTGGGTGTTTTGGGTGTTGTGTGGGTGTGTGTGGGTGTTGTGTGGGTGTGTGTGGGTGTTGTGTGGGTGTTGTGTGGGTGTGTGTGGGTGTGTGTGGGTGTGTGTGGGTGTGTGTGGGTGTGTGTGGGTGTGTGTGGGTGTGTGTGGGTGTGTGTGGGTGTGTGTGGGTGTGTGTGGGTGTGTGTGGGTGTGTGTGGGTGTGTGTGGGTGTGTGTGGTTGTGTGTGGGTGTGTGTGGGTGTGTGTGGGTGTGTGTGGGTGTGTGTGGGTGTGTGTGGGTGTGTGTGGGTGTGTGTGGGTGTGTGTGGGTGTGGGTGGGTGTGTGTGGGTGTGTGTGGGTGTGTGTGGGTGTGTGTGGGTGTGTGTGGGTGTGTGTGGGTGTGGTGTGTAGGTGTGGTGTGTAGGTGTGTGTGTGTGTGTGTGTGTGTGTGTGTGTGTGTGTGTGTGTGTGTGTGTGTGTGTGTGTGTGTGTGTGTTGTGTGTGTGTGTGTTGTGTGTGTGTGTGTGTGTGTGTGTGTGTGTGTGTGTGTGTGTGTGTGTGTGTGTGTGTGTGTGTGTGTGTGTGTGTGTGTGTGTGTGTGTGTGTGTGTGTGTGTGTGTGTGTGTGTGTGTGTGTGTGTGTGTGTGTGTGGTTGTGTGTGTGTGTGTGTGTGTGTGTGTGTGTGTGTGTGTGTGTGTGTGTGTGTGTGTGTGTGTGTGTGTGTGTGTGTGTGTGTGTGTGTGTGTGTGTGTACCTATATAATTATGCATAGACACCCATATATACACAGTGAAGTGTGCGTGCACGCATGTATGGGTGTCTGTTCTAGGTTTGGTGGCTATTTGGAGATAGAGGAACCTTTTTGTCCAATCTGCGCCTCACCTTTTTGATGGAAAATGTGTGGCTCAGAGGGGGTTTTGTGAACCAGGTCGCCCCGAAAATCAGGACATAAAGAGTTGGAAGGCACCCATCCAAACCCAAGGGCCAAAAAGCCGTGTTCCCATCCAGCCAGAGAGGACCCAAACGCGGCTGTTTGAGGAAAACTGGTTAAGGGAAGGATTTCAAAGGCGAGCCACACCTTCAACTGTAATTAGGGAATTAAAGAATACAATACAACACTAAAACATGCTTTAGGTCCACCCCCCAGAATGGTGCTCAGCTCCTTGAGCGACTTGGGCAGGGACAAGAGATGGGGTACGCCCGTGTGAATGGCGATGTCCCTGAAAGTCAGGTGCAAGGCTACACACTCCAACAGTTTGGCGTTTTCAGGCTTGACATGGTTTGCAAAGGTTTAGTAAGGATCAGCAAAAGTTCGGCCTGCGGGTCATACACTTCCTCAGGCTGCCGAAGCAGTGACACCTCAGAGGTGACCAGAGAGGCTAAAATGATGCAGATGCAGCAAGAGATCGAAGTTCCAGGGGGCGGGCGAGGGAAGGAATCGGCGGCTGGCCACCGGAGGTTCCCTTGAGAGCCTCGTGCGGGACTGGATGGGGCTTGGGAGATGTTCGGCATTGAGGGTTATTCACAGTTGAGTGACGTGCCATTCCCATGCTATTACGCCATTCACACTGCGCAGGTCATGGAGACGATCATTTCGGCTCAGGAGAGGAAACTGCCCGCTGATTCCCACAGATGACTCGACTCTACTGCCAACGTCTCACTGGACAACCAATCCACGGGCAACAAACACAAACACGTTCCCCAGCTATGCACGTGCGACCCATCAATACAGTCGTTGCCTCCGTCTACGAGTGTAGTCTCTCCATTCCAGCTAGTCATACCAGCAGCCATCTCAGTCATTGAAACATCTGCAGCACCGCGCGAATGGAAACGTCATTTTCAATCCTGAAGGAGTTGTGGTAAATTTTGAGGATTGAACTGGGCGAGTGCTGCATCTGCAGAACAACAGCAGTGCCCGCTGCTTACGACGCGGGTTGGTAGACACTCAGGTTGCAGGTCTGTCTGACCCTCTACGGAAATCTGTCAACAAAGAGTCCAGAGAGCCTGAGCAGGTTGTTCTTGGATATGCAGCGGAAATCAGCAGAATGAGCAGTTAGATTGCTTGTTGATGTACAGCCTTGCTGCGCGTTCCTCTCTAATCATTTGAAAGTCATGAACGTTCGCCCCGTTCGTTTTTGGAACACGACGGCTAAGCTCGGCATATCTCGGCATGGAAACACGACCTGCTAACAACATGCTGCTACGCCTTCAACAGGTTCCGACAACATGCAAACCTGTCACAAACGTGCTTCATTACTTCTTCGAACGAATGCAGGCAAATATGGCGACGGGTCTGCAGGTGGTGATGCCATCTCGAAGGTTCGACACATTGCTCAACTGGGCAAAAGCCTGGAACTGGGCGTCGCACTGGGGAGAACTGTATGGGCACCGGTCCATGAGAGCCACAGCCCTGGCGGTTGCGCCCTTTTGCACGATTCCCGAAAGGACTCCGAATAGCACCCCAATCTGCACTTGCCTGCTCATTGAATGCACCATCCAGTGGCAAAGGCGGAGCCTCCGTGCCACAGCAAAGCAGCTTGCGACACAGGCCTGTGCCTCTCCACAAGGTGGCACCGACCGTAGGAGCCCCACAAGAGGGCAGCCTTGCCCATAAGCCTGCACAAAACATGCAGGACCGAGTGCATCTCCAACTTCTTGTGCAGCCTTCTCATGGTAGCGGTCGATCGGCAACATGGATGCCTCAGCGTCCGGAACAGATTGTGAGTAGCGCCCACATGGAGGAATGACCAACGCAATCAGCAGAACACACACACACACACACACACACACACACACACACACACACACACACACACACACACGCACAAGCCAACGAGGCCAGGATGTGCTGTGACCCACACCAGGGAGGGCACGCGGTTGTGCTTGACCTGTGACACAGGTGTCAGGTGCCATGCAGGCGCACTCAAAGCTTCAGTTGCTTCAAGGACATTGGACTACATGACGCGGCTTGCGCGCACTCTCGTCTGTCCCTCGCCTCGCAACCTAGAAGGACCTTGCTTACACTCACCAGACCAGGCCTCCGAAGTTTCATTGTGCGGCAGCTGGGCCTTGGGGAATAAAGAGGAGCCAGACACTCTTCAGCATTGTCGATTGAACGAACAAGGCGACCGGGTTCAAAAGCTATCGGCACTGGTGAGCGCATCTGTTGATATTGGCATGCATGGGATTTCGACCACTTGGACGACGACACGACGGTTACCTTGCGGCTCGGCGCGATGGATGCTCGATGTCTGCTATGCGGCTCTTGGAACTTCGCGGCCGCGCGGCCTAACCCATACTGCACCAATCGCAAATGTGCCCACTTGCCTTGCCTCCCGCACGCAACGGACTTCATGAAAAACTTGTTTCTGGGACGCGAATGCTGCTCGCAGTATCTTTCTTAGGCACATGCAACGATCCGGACCCTGCGCCAATGTCAAGACCAGGGATGCTGCTCGCTGCGGCGAGTGATGTGCTGCCTGAGTGCATCGGCACATCATGGCACATCATGGCACATCCCCTGCTTGCGAGCTGCAGAGCCTGGCATGCTTCATGCATCAGCTGTAGTTTCAGCAGCCCTTCCCTGAGGAGCGCACCGGAAAGCCTCCCTGTCGCATAGGCCCCTGTACTGCCTCGGAATGCCACCAATGTCCGAGCACATGACCCGGAACTGCTCAGGCTTGCTTACTGTTACTACATGCTCTCATTGCTACATGAACAAGGGCTCCAGCAGGCGAGCCCATGGCATGCAGGGGAGACATCGGTGACGGGGGAACCTCGAGCGGCATGCGGGAACGCTCATCCTCGGTCGCTACGTCTCTTCTGCAAACCCCCTCTGGTCCTGAAGGCCCATTCTTTGCCCCGGGCGCTGCAGGCACTGCTCGTTGACAGGTGTCCTCGCAGCTGCCTGGGCGGTGCCTGAGACTTTAGTTTTCAATTAAGCTACTCCAACCCATGCGACCGCCACACACAAATGTACGCACATGCGCCCTCAGGGAGCCCAAGCATCTACTTCGAAAATCTGAAGGGCCCTAAGCTCCCGAAGCCAAATCTAGGAGTGAGCAGTGTGGCCCGCCGAGCGTAACAATCTTGGGCAAGGGCCTCAGACATCTCGCTCTGGGAGGCCTCCGGTAGTAGCAACTTGCTCAGAGTCGCCATGTCATGGTGTAGCGGTGTAACTATGTGGAACGTGTGCTTTCGCGAGATTACTAAAACGGGAAGAGGCCTCACTCACAAGGCTGAAAACCCCAGCAGTCATGAGGCAGGGGCCATGTACGGCAAGCTCTCGGCGATTGATGGGGACGCGTCCACCTTGTCAAAAAGAAGGGTCTCTCGGCATGTCTCAGCGACCATCCAAAGCAGGACCGACTTCTGCACAGCGGACAGAAGACTTTGAGCCCAGGAGCCCCAGGGGAGGCGGCTGGCGAACGCTGCCCACGGCGAGCAGCACGAGGCCGCTCAGCCGGTTGTGGCTTCTCCAGACCAACCCTTCAGCGCAAGATGGCATCATGCAACAGTCAAAAGCCAAGAAATCTGAAGATGTGAACAAAGAGCTTCACGCAATTTGAGCTGCATAGGTGCTCCCAGAAGTACTACTCTGTCGCAACCCAGCCACACGGCAAAGAGATCTGTCACTCTCTCATCCGCATCCTCATGGCCAACTCGCTGGAAGAGCCTGGCGTCCCCGAGAACTCGACTGTGCTATCCGACACAACATCTCTCTTGTACAGGCAGCAAGTGGTCCTGCAATACAAGTATCTGTGAAAGGATGGATGTTTGGAGATTCAGGGCACAGGCTAGATGCAGCAAAGCCGAACGCGCGGTCCGTTCACGACCTTCCCGAGACTGGAACACGGCCGCACTTAAAACGCGATAGCCATCCCATGCTCCAGCACTTCAACTCGAGAATCGCATAGAATCGCATCGTTACCGCCCAGCCCACACCTAGACTTCATACTTCTCATCCTTCTTCCACTTTTTATCCTACTTCTGTTAATCCTTGTTGAGACCCCCCACCTGGAGAGAATGCTGGCGGTGATGGCCGAGGGTCGGAGGCCACAGGACACCATCTCTCCGAAGAGGCCGCAGCCTTCGCATTCACTGCAGGCACAAGCATTTGCCAGAGACAAAGCTGCAGAGGGAAAAAAGAGGGGTCAGAATGATTCTTGTGCATGACTCAGTGTTCGCAGCCCTGACAAGACTCCATGACGTGAGCCTGCTTTCCAATCGTCTGTTTTGACGCAGCCTCACAGAGAGCGGCACGCAGTCCAGAACCCTGCCTACCGTAAAGATCCTTTTAGTCCATGTCTGTTTCCGGTGTCTTCACGTCTTGCATCCCTCTCCCATTTGCCACGGCACCACTCTTCAGGCATGTCTTCCGTGACGTACCGGGGCGCAGGGCAGTGGTGAAGCTTGGGATGTTGGAATGTTGTCAGCAATGAAAAGGACGACACAAGCATCACACATGACGGGGGGGGGGGGGGGGGGGGGGGGGGGGGGGGGGGGGGGGGGGGGGGGGGGGGGGGGGGGGGGGGGGGGGGGGGGGGGGGGGAACAAAGATTGGAGGGCTTATGCGGGGACAAGAAGCCATGTCATGCAATCTGCAACCTGATTTCCGGCGTGAAAGCAGCTTGGAAAGCGTGAATCATACCGCTACCATGCACCATGCGCATCTGCCACAGAATCACAGCAAAGGCATCACCAGAACATGTGCTTCAACCCTTCCCAGGTGCTTGCACCAGCTTACACAACTTGCACATGCCTTCCATCAGAGTGTTGTACACGAGCTCGTCACAACGAAGTCGTCGCTCTTTCATGTCATCGAACATACACAGCGCCTGACTCGGACTCATGCCTCATGTCCAAGTTCGAGGACACAGAAAGAAGGCCTTTAGGAGCTCTCCGTTCTGGCAGTAGCCCTTCAGGACGGTCGAATAGCCTGAGAAGAATCATGGAGGGCCCTGGCCTTGCTAAAATTCGGACCTCAGGCATCCGAGTTGCTGATCAGGTCGGGTTCGATCTCCATCTCGGTCTGAACCATCTGCTCCAGGATGTTCTCGCAGGACGTGGAGAGTGCTGGAGATGTAGTTTTTAATGCCCTTTCAATGCGGTCTAGATCTGAATAGACAAAGCATCATGAATACATGGAGAGAGAGAGAGAGATGTGCTCTCGTAGGTCAGAAAGAAAACAAAACAGCAACTTTCACAGGCGATGTGTAATTGAAACTGTCGAGTCAGCCATGCTCCAGTACAGCCTTAGTGGCACTATCACCCCCAGAAGGGGAGGGCCTCGGCAGACGCGATGTCGCCACACTTCACACATGCTTCCAGTATCGAGTTGTAGGTGATGGTATTGTAAGGAACCTGAACGACGGGTCAGCCAGCGTCGCTGTAGGCTGTGGTGACATGACTGGGGATGCCAAGCTGGATGTTCCGCTTTCGGAGCGTTTCCAAGGGCTTGGCCCCTTCATCGCGCATCTCATGGAAGAGCTCGAGGGCATTGTCCAAGTCCTTGTGCAATCCGTAGCCTGGAGGATGGTTGCAACGTTGCAAAGGGGTCGCATGAAGGCTATGCCTGGTCGGGAAGCATGTGTGCACAGGGTCAAGTGGCCTTTGATCATGGTGGTGTACAGGATGGTGTTGCGATGCTTGCCCGTGGCACCTTGGATTTCCCAATCAACTTCACAGGTGGTTGGGCAAACGGCGTAGCAACACGTCCGAAGTTAGAGATTTGTCGTCTGGACTTTACAGGTGCAGGTCAAAACCCATCCCATGACGCAACCGCCAAGGCATAATTACATGTCTCACAAGTCAATCGAACGGAGGTTGCAAAGGCCCTGAGCTCAAATCACCACATGTGACTAAGCGCGGCGCGCATTCCCCTGAATACCTCCACGGCCTTCTGCAAGTTGCCGCACTTCACGCATGCGTCCAACATGCAGCCATATGTCACCGAGTTGGCCAATCCCCTTTGCTCCTGGCCATCATTTGAAAAATCTAATAATGGACACTAGACAGCTTGAGAATGCGATACTGCCCAGCTGCAGGCCTCCATCTCATCCCACGCGGCTAGGACCTTGTCCAAGTCGCCCGCTTGGCCATACGTCTTCACCAAGATACCTCGCACGCCGATTCTGGACACTGGACACGGGCTCGTATTGCACTCTTCCTAGTCACGATGGCCCCCTTAAGCCCAAAGGGCCGAGTGTGATGGGCGATGGTTTCACCTTCAGCTGCCGCATCCAATTGACACAGCTCTCAAGCCGCTTGAGGTCCTTCAGCACCAGAGAAACGCACAGTCAGCTTCGGATCGTGCCCCCCTTTCGACATGTTTTACTTTCTTGTGTGCAAAAGTGATGGCCGTCTGCCTCCCTGCCGCTTGTCATGGCGTGCATTCGGTCCTTGAGGCGGCAGCAGGTGTCCAGCAGGGCATTGAACAAAACCTCGTCCACATCCTGCCCAAATCACTGAATCGCATCTGAACCGCTCTTTTCGCATGTTGGACATGAACGGCCTCTGGTTGCATCTCTATGAATCGCTCGACCAAAGTGATTCCCCTGTATGCTCTCGTTGGGTCGAGGTGGCCATCACCAACGGTCTTCATCAGCATTCTGGAGACTGTGTACCTGATGCAAGAACAGCACTCACCTCCATTGTCAAAGTCGAGACAGCACATGCGCACTTGTCCGTCGTCTTGCCATCTGCATGCATCTGCTCTAGCGCATCCCAGGCTTCATCCACTCCTGCGCAATTGACGTCCGTCACAACCAACCACCCTACAGTCACTACCTTGCCCAGTGTTGGGCTACCACTCAAGCCGTCTCACTTGCCTCTTCGTCGCATGACCTCCTCCAGCGCGTTCAACGGAGCTTTCACTGCAGCCCTAAACCCTCCACGAAGCGGAGTAGGCACCTGCAGAGGGCAGAACTCTGCTCTGCGAGCTGTACTGAGGGTGACAGGGGCCACCGGGCATGGCGACATCTCAAGGCCCGAGATCCATGCCTCCTTCAAGGCGTCCTGGGGTTCATCATCTGGCTCCTCCATGCGGCTTTCCTTGATGCTGGCAACTCGTCCGCGTCCACTGCGACCCATGACGTGCCTGAGGCCACACAGACTGTTTCCTCTTGCGAACTGATCAAGCAAATACCCCAGCAACTAGAATTTTCGCAAGCCTGTACGGCATGGCAATCGTCACCCCAAGCAAATTCAAGCAAACTTACAGCTATCGCACCTGGACAGCTCGGAAGACGGATACAGTGGGGCTGCTTCGAAGCATCTACTTGCAGCTAAAGCTGAGAGCCAAGAAAGCAAGCGCACGGCGTACGGCAGATCCTCTTGTTGGCTTGGGCTGGGATTGTTTACCACCGCTTTCTGCTGCATGATCTGAGGGCCGCGTGGAACATGGCTTTAGGCTCTAGCCTTCAGAGGCTGAAGCCCATCGAGCGTATCGCACCGGTCGGAAACCCTGTCGTTAGCCCTCGCCATCTTCCCAAAACATTGTCTTCGAAGACCCTAACTAAACATCCCTAAACGGCACATGGTTGCCCACAGCATCCGGCCTCCAACGGCCTCTTACAGTCGCGCCGTTGGGGCAAGGGCTTGGTGTTCGAGCCCAGCTTGGGCTGCCAGCCTTGAACACCCCAAGACACCAAGGACTCCGATCGTGGCGGACACACCGCGGATTTGACACCATACTGACACCCACATCTGTCACCACATCGCCCGAAGATCTTTCAGTGAAAAAGCCCTGAAATTTTGAGCCCGGCCCTTGGCCTCCGTCAGCGTCCAACTCGGCCGTAGCAGGCAGCATCTCATTAGGCCGCTGGCCCTTCAAGATAATGGGCTAGAAGCAAGTTTCAGCTAAGCAGTCTGGGGATCAGTCTGCAGTGGTAGCGGTTGCGGTGGTGTGTGGGGTCGAGTTGAAGGTGGCGTTCAGGAGTGTTCAGGACTCGTATCGGCTTTGTTGTGGTCGCTTCTTGTTCTGCCACGTCATTCCGAAAGGGCAGCTGCATGGTTAGGACTTAAGCAAAGATCGGTCTCGTGAGCAGAACATTGACGAAGAGCTCGTAGCACTCTCACAGCTGATGCGTGGAGCACAAAGAACCAATAGTTGCAGACGTCCCTTGTGAAGGCATCAAAACGACTCTTTTTTCGCAACGCGCACTCTGCCACAGCTGCCCTGGAAGCTCAGAGGTGCAGAGTGCATCAGCCGCCACCCGAGTCAGGAGGCGGGCTGCGAGTCCAGAAACCAAAAAACAACCCCATGAGATCTACACGAGCTCCACTGTCCGAGTCCAGGGTTTTGATGAACATCCTCATCATTGCCACTATCGATATTTCGACGAACATGCAACACAAAGCAGTGCCTTCAAGTCAGACGTGGAGCTCAAACCGCCACACTCGCCCCTGGTGGCACCGCACCCCAACTCAGAACCCAAAGGGCCCCCAGATCTACTTCACCGCTTAAGCTGCATGGGCTAGTGTGCACGTATTTAACACGACAAGTTAAGCACGACAACTCGTAAACGAATCACGAACTCAATTGTAAACTGCCGACTGATTGTGTCGAATTTGGCACGCGCTCAGTGTTGAGCGTCTGTTCTGCTGACCTCAGTTCCTGCACCGTTTTATGTCGCCATCCCCATCACGTCCAAGACCCTCTGCACCAGCTCCTGGTGGGGTGCATGGCATGAGAATGTCACAACCCAAAGCCGCATGTCTCTGCCGGAAAGCATGGGACGACGCCCGAAGCATCCTGGAAACCCTCCAACCAAACATCCGGCAGCCACCTCCTTTGTCCCAGTCGTGGGCAAGCGCAGTGTCTTCAGCCATGCTACAAGAGGTGCCTGGATCGCTCAACTGTCCGTTCACTCTTGTGGGGGTGACATGGGGAATCTGTGCACCGGGCGAAGCGCCCGAAATTAGGCACAGAGATTCGACGACCCAGCTAGTACAAATGATGGACACCAAGCCAATCGGAAACGGTGCATACAGTGCATACTGCACAGCAACGAGGTCTCGTGCTAGTGCTGGCTGGGCCTTGCTTAGACCTCAATGACACCATCCACTGCTGAGTCGGGTTGCTGGGCTTGAGGCCTATAGGCTGGGTTCGATCACATTCGCAGGTGGAATCCGCTACCCGACAAAGCTACACTCGGCACAAGCCTTGAGCTGCTTCTGTAGCCAGCGACGGAGCTCGGGTCCCGATCGCCTGGGCATCATGGGCAGCCACCCAGGTACTGCTACGTCATTGCCTCAGGCAAGCTGTGGCGACCCAACTCACAACTAACTGCGTGGCGCAGTAAAAGCACTGCTGACGATACGTATCATCACCCTTCAGTTTCGCAGCTTTTTGGCTACTTGACGTCGAGGAAAAATCCACCAGGAAACCAGCCACTCTCAGAGCACACTGGGAATACATTGTCAGGATGATGAGGCTGTGACAAAGCACGACAAACCGACTTGCGTGTCACTTGCGTGCCTCTTCTCTATCCATTCTGTCCATTCTATCCTCTGCCACCTCCTCTTGGGTCATCTCCCAGCCTGTCTGAGGCCCTGGACTTCTGAAGCTCCTCCTCGAAGTCGGGGCTCCCAGGGCTACCCGGCCCGGAGCCTGAGGTGACCTCGGAGAGAATGCTTCCTGTTCTGCACGGCCAGCCCCCTAAACCCTAGTTTGCCCTGGCATCTGGCGGACCGGAGCCTTGGGCACCCGGCAGTGGACTCGCTGTCCGAGCTGCTTGAGGACCAGGCCTCGGCTTGGGGCGCGCTTGGGACACCAAAACTACAAATAATCTCGAGGAACACCGACACCATGACAAACTACGCACTGCAAAACCACGCTCGCAGTCAGGCTTCTGCAACATCTGCAACCGTGTACACAAAACAACCTGCGGGCTCGAATTTTGGGGTTTCGGGTCTTCGGCAGCAGGTCCTAGCTGGCAAACTTCCGGCGACTGGAACGCGAAGGAAACCAAAAGCCAGGGCTGTGGCAATGCACGTTGCGAGACTTATCTGACAAGCAGCGTCCAACAAACTTGAGATGTGCGAGGCTTCGTAACGGAGGTCGGAGCACCTGCAATGAGCAAACGTCGATGCCTCCAGCTTTGCAGGACGCGACTGGCCGGCTTCGTTCGCAGCGGCCACATGCACCTGAGACTGAACAGCCCGAAGGGCATCAAGGACACACAGAAGTACCGAAGAGCCCAGGAGAGCACTGTCGCTGTTGGCTGTCTCCACAGACTTGGCATCTTCTGGAGGTCCTCTTCCTTGGCAAGCAATTGGTGATGATGGTGCGCCCTCTTGTCGAGAACTAGACTCGACTTCTGGAATCAAGCTGGATCAAGGTGACTTGGTACCCCAATCCCCCCAGACCTGTCAGGCTTCGCGCCCTTTTCACAGCGGCTCCACATGAGGCAGCGCGCTGCAGACAAGGCCTTTGAGCTTAGCACAGAAGGCGGAACGCTCCTTGGCTGTCACGGAGTGCCCAGGGCTGAACACCATCTCCCGCATCCGCTCAGAGGCCCGATGGGCTTCGAGGACCTGTGGAGGGGGTTTGGGGCCGTTGGGGCCTTTGGAGGCCTCGTGGCTTTTGGGACGTGCGACGCTCACGGTAAGCCAGTCTTCCTCAACACCCGGTGAGCCAGCGCGGCCAGGGCTGGTGAACTCGACAGTCAGAACTTGCGTGCGGAAATCTGCGGCTGGATTCGCAACGTGCCACAGATACAAGATGGCGCCAGTCTCCAGGACATTGTCGGCCACAACTGTGGCACGTGGTCGAAGCAGTCCAAGTGAGTCAAGCTCTTGACATGTTTCGATGTACTGGGAACCCCAAATATCCATGAAGACCAAGCCGAAGGATGCTGAGAGGGTCGGGAGCAATGAGCGGCTGTGGCCGGTGCGAACATCAACTTGTTCAGCCACTCCTGGCATTCTTACCACTCGCTGAAAGCCTAGATTTACTGAAGAATGACTCAATGGATGCCTTCATGTGGCTACTGCAGAACTCATTCCGGTTAGCGAGAGAGGGAGTGAGAGAGAGAGAGAGAGAGAGAGACAGAGAGAGAGAGAGAGAGAAAGAAAGAAAGAAAGAAAGAAAGAAAGAAAGAAAGAAAGAAAGAAAGAAAGAAAGAAAGAAAGAAAGAAAGAAAGAGAGAGAGACGCGGCGTAAAGAGACGAGAGGAGCGGGGCGTCCTGACAGCGCCAGAAAAGCTCGAGCAACGACCACCATCATTGGATCTGATTCCAGGCTTATGATCTGTGCGTGTGGCAGAGATTGTACTAGGCGCAAGGTTGCATAACCACAGTAGGTGCCGATCTCCAGCACGGGACTGTCTGCGGCAGAACCTGCCGCAGCAGCAACCAGGCAATCGGCTTTTCCACCACCTGCAAACTTGGACCACATCCCTTCGGCCCCGAGGACCCTGCGGCTGTGGGCCTCGACTGCTTCACAAACCGAAGCAGGGCTTCCTGGCTTGGCTTTCATCAAAACGTAGCGCAGGAGGCTCAGTTCGCGTGCATAGGAGCGCTTGGGCGGCATAGCCAGAAAAGTCGCACTCCATGGAGGCAGGGTTGGCAGGTAGACGAGAGGTCGCCGGCACAGCTTCGCCTGCAGTGACAGCGCCGCCCGCCGACTCAGCGCTTCGCCGGGCACGTCGCTAGGTGACGTGGGCGCTGCAAGCATGTCCCACAGGAGCAATGACGCCTCTGAACCACGGCCACAAGCAGCAAGCCTAGCAGCAAGGCCTACCGGGGCCAAGGAACGAACCAACTGTAGAAGCTCCTCATGAGCCACATCGCCGCCATCCATTTCGCCAGTTGCAAACTCGCCGTCCTCTGTATGTTCGGCATAGTCCACGCCCAATGAGAGAAGCTTAAGCAAAGCAAGCTCAGTCCGTGTGCCGGGTTCTGCCCTTTCGCATGCAGCCAGCAGCTCGGTCAAACAGGCTGCAACTGCTGGAAGCGCCTTCGTCCGTCGCAGGCACGTCAGTGCTCGCCTATCCTGCTCTGGGAACTCCGTGACAATGTCATAAAGACCCTTTCCACACGCGCCCACCAGCATCGAATCCAAGACTTGAAGCGCATCCGTTACGCGGTCGGCGGCCACAAGGCCAAGAATGACCGGGCTGAAGTCGACAGGCTCTCGGGACAAACGAAGATTCTGCATGTCATCCAGCAGCTGGATTGCAAGATCGACGCCTTGGCCAAATTGAAAGCCCTGAAGAGCTGCATTGAAGGTAATGCGTGTTGGCTGGCAAGACATATCGCCTACGCCTCGAAGCAAGCTGTGAGCACACTGCCACTGGCCTGCAAGTGCTGATGCCCGAACTAGCTCGTTCTGAGTGATTATGTCACGGTGAAGTCCAGCAGCGGACAGGGTCTCAGCAGTGCACATGCAGTGGCGCCAGGCATGTGCCCGCCTGACCGCCGAAAGTGCCACGTTGTAGGTTTGCAGTTGAGGCTGAAATCTTCGCTCGATTATGGCCAGCAGCAAACCCAAAGCTGCCTCCCACTGCTTCCCACTTCCGAGGGCCGACACCATGGAAGTGTGCGTTACGATGTCTGCGTCCAGCGCTGAAGCTTCGGCATCCAGCAGTAACGTTTGGGCACGCTCCCATTGCGAGGCTTCGTCCATCGCACTGATGGCAACGTTGAAGTCTGCTATACAAGGGGCGGGGCCTGTGCGGAGCATGTCGTGCAGAAGTGTCAAAGCCCACTCCCAGCAACCGGCCCGGCTGCAGGCGTTCATGGCAGCGTTGAGGGTAATTCGGTCCGGCTCAAACCCGGCTGCCTTCGCCGCTTCCACCAAGCTCAAGGCACTTCTCCAACGACTTGGGCGCCCCATCGTACTGATCAGGGAGTTGTACGTGATAAGATCGGGAGCTCCACCCGAGCTGCCGAAAAGCTGAAGAGACGCTGCCCACTGCGAGGCTTTCTCGCATGCAGCCAAGGCTGTGTTGTAGATAACCGTATTGGGTTGGAGTCTTGCCTTACGCAGACTCACCATCAACTGCAAAGATGATTGCCATCTGGATGCTCTTGCACAGGCGCTCATGCAAGCACCAAAAGTGATTTCATTTGGCCAGGCTCGAAACGTCTGCATTTCCGTGAGCAGGTGCACAGCCAGCTGCCACTGCTGGGACCTGCCCACTGCAGTAATTCTTTGCGTCCAGCCAACAACATCTGGAGAAGCGCCTGACTCCATCCTGCCCAACGAGCGATGGGCGCACATCCCACAGCTACAGGCCAAAGAAGGGACTTGGGGCGACTCTGGGTGACTTGGAGATTCTTGAGACAGGCCTTGAGCATCTCACAACCCGGCTAGCAGTCATCAGGGGCCGTCGGGCTGTGCTCCCCTTCTAGTTTCTGCTGCCACTGCCTCCTACCACATGAGAAGTACTCGCTCCCGCACAATTCTGAGTTTCGGTGCCTCCTAAAGAACACCTTCGAAGCTCACTTCTTGCGTTTTTGTGTGCCTGCTGATGTGGTCCAATGAGATGAGCTTCGCGGCCCAAGTAGTCGCCGGGTGCTGATCTTTTGTTGCAGTTTTGCGAGCTGTACATGCAAAGCAATAGCAAGACACATCCCAGAGTGCAGGATCTGCGGTCGCAAGAGTCCGAAAAAATTGGAAGGGATTTCGATTCAGGCCATTCTCCTGGCGCAAATCGACCCTCAAAGCGAGCGGCTCGCCAGCATGTCGCCACAAGAGACCCTGACAGCAAGAATGGTACTCGTAGCAAATGTCTACACGCCTCTGTAGTCAGCGACATGCGTTAATTGAGTCGCTCTGCCGAGGCAAAGTAGCAGAAAGCCTGCATCTCCAAGTCCAAAAGCCATTCCTTGATTCGGCCCCGGTCTGCCCTCAGCGCAGTTTGACCGTGGCAGTCTGGTGGCCGTGCGCAGGTCGGCCCAATACCGGGACGGCCCAACTAAACCTGTGAAAAAATCTCTGCGGGGCAACGCATAAGCGTGCCTCAAACCTGTGCACTTGCACAACTATCAAATATGCACACGCACACTTTGGGCAAGCGGTGCATTTAAGGCCCCCCATGTCCCATGCATCATGAACATTCAATCTGATACTGCAAGATGTCAACCGAAAAGCGCTGCAGGTTGCTCTGCTTCTCGGATCCGATGGCAAAAGCCTTGGGGAGACTCGCGGCATCTTACGTGAAAGCCGCGAGCCGCTGGCCACAAACAGGTACAAAGCGTAGCCATGAAAGGCGTTCAAGCCCCATCCCCAAGCACACTAACTGGCACTTGAAAAGTGGGCTGGAGAGCCTCAATTAGCTGGAGACGTGAGCATGCGTAGATGGCCGATGGCACCAATTCGAGGTGGGGCCCACTTCGAACGTGCATCTCAACCGTTCCGCTAGAATCATGCAGATACCAGAGCCTCAAGTGTATCGGTGCATCAGCCACTGCATGAGATTCAAGATAAGTCAGTGCGAAACTGACGTCGTCATTCACGAGGCATGCCACCAAGAGAATCTCCTGCTCCTAGATTGGTATCACCTGAGATGGCAACACGCTCAAGTGTGGGGAAAACATGCATGACATGATCGCATCAAAAATCCTGCACGCAAATTTGGACACGACTTCCCATCGTGCCCACCAAGAGCTCGCAATTGCGCTTCGTGCCAAGATACCTGGTTCTCTTCTCGCAATGCCTTCGCACTGTCAGTGCAAAACTTCGTTAGTTTCCCCCAAGGTGAGATTCGTCCTTTCGTTTTGTTCGTGGGCCTCCGGCAACCTCCCACAACAGTGGGCTCCACACGTCGGTGAGCACTTCCAGAGTACCTCCGACCTGAAGAAGTCGCAAGTCAAAAACACCAAAAGATTTTGTCACTCGCAACTCACTCCACTCTGTTTCTGCCGTACTGTTGCATCTGTTGCTACAGAACCACTGCAAGTTCAGAATCTTCAAGGTGATAGTGCCACCCAGCGTCCGAATGTTCTTGGCAGACGCACCTGTGCAGAATTCCGCTGCACCTACTCTTCGATCCAACACGGTCCTCCGAAACGGAACTTGCATCTCCATGTGCATTCCTCCAGACGTCGACGTTGACGCATCGGATGCCGAAGACATGGTCCGCCTCATGCGAAATGATAGATGCAGCAGGCCAGACATTACGTACAGGCAACAAAAGCCCAAGACGAGCAGGCGGAAAACACAGCATGACGGCCAGGCTGGAAGCCCGTTTATGAATATTCGACCTATTCATACATGAGATCAGCTCGATGCCTAGGTTGCAAGGCGTCCACTGCCGAAGGAGGTCGTGCAGGCCTCCAGACCCATTCGTGAAACAATCCCTCCACGTCAAGTTGTCACATCCGAGGACTAGAGCCGTACAGCCTCGACACACTCACACCTGCAATCTTCGTAGTTCCAACCGTTTGTGGGCCGCCGCATGTCACAAGTGACACTCCAACTGCGGCCAAGTCACTCTTGGGCTTCCCTCCATGCCTTGCTCCCGACGCAAAAAAGGCAAAAAAGCATTGCACTATATTGCACTCAACAGCGACGGCAGCTACGATTGGAACATTGGAACGTTCCGGTGGCCCACCTTGCTCTGGCACTTGCCGTTGGGCAGCATCAGCGCGTGGCTTCTCATCGCCTAGCCCAGCACAAGCAGGTGAGCACGGCGGCCCCTGGCAAGACCCGAGCGACACCAGCACGCTTGCATACGTTTGCATTCCAAGCAGCTCTCTGGCGGCTCTCTCGTGTCCTACTTCACTGCTTCTTGTGCCCAAACGCGGCAGGAAAAGGCGCGACGAAAACTTGTTGAACCATGTTGGACCCTGGCTCTGCTGATCCAGCAACTCTCCGGATGACTGGATTGCTGCTGAAGTAAGAGAGGGAGCCACATGCTACTTTGTCCAAAACAAAATAAACAAAACTCTGGTGATCGTGGACACTGAGGTACGCACTGCGAGGATAAAACTTGTCAGCTCTTCTACAGTCACGAACCTCTTCAGCTCCTGACATTCCAGCAACGGTAATGAGAATTCATGGCAGCCGGCTTGTGAGCATTGAGTCGCAGGAAAGAGACGGATCGTTTCACATCGCCGGACAAGCCTCGCTGTAGTCCGGCTGAAGAACAGTGATCGTTAGTGGCTTCCTTGGGGTCTGGTGGCATCACACTCCAATGTCCGGCAGCCATTCGTTGTGTAGGCTTGGCGACAACTGAGCTGCAAGCCCATATGCTGGGTCCAGAGCAGACACCAAGTACCTGCAACAGCCGCCCACCAATACCCGGAATACTTACGAAACACCTCCCTGGCAAAGGGCATCCCGAAAGTCTGATATTGTTCGGTGGGAATCGACAAAGTGGCTTGAGGCAAGGTGCGGCTACCGCATGAAAGCCCAAGCAGTTTCACAGCGAAGCTGCATATTCTAGTCAATGGCCGAGGTCGCGACCTGCAGACGGGTGCTGCAACCTGCCTGTAGGATGCAGACTAAAATTTTCCACAACCAGCAATTTGTCGCATTTTGCAGAGGCCCAATCCTTGGAGGAGGAAGCCAACCTCAGGCAAAATCTGGCGCGAGCCCCAGCGAACATCTGTGAACGAGCATCCCAGCACAGGCCAGCACGACAGTAACCAGTCCCTCCTTCTCAGCACATCGTCGCGACGCAGGAATGCAAATCCAAGCTCCCCACGGAGCTTGTACCGTCGGTGCCCCGGCTTGCTGTCCAGAACTTCGTACCTCCATGTGGGCGGTTCGGACGCCAAGTGCCCTCCCCCCAATCGACACGGCATGACACGGCGCTGGCCTGAGCGACTGTGGTGCCAAAGGAGCTTCAACCCGAGAGAAGCTCTTTTCACAGACATCCTGCAAGTTGCCAAGCTGAAGCAGCAATTGCCAATGCGGCCAAGCGATTTCACACTCACATCATGTGCAACTTGCACCAGAATTGCCGACAATCTGGTGTGCCCGAAGATGTTCTTCTTGTGTCGGGCGTTGTTTTGTGGTTGTTGCTTTTGGTTTTGGCTGTATGTGTGTTGGCTATGCATGTCATTTTGGTTCGGTTGCGTTTTGGTTGGGTTGTTTCTTGGTGGCTGCTTGGTTGCTCAAAGGAATGCACGTCAGACTTTTCCTTTACCAAGAAAGCACAACCAAAGCCCACCTTCCCATGAGAAGAGTGCTTTTGCTGACGAGTTTTGTGATTCACCTCCGGGCTGCGAGCTCCCAGATGCAACTCAAGGCTGGTTTTGATACCATGAACTAGTTCTTCCCATGGTGCGTTTCACTGAAAGGTTTACGGCTTACTTGTCCCAAAGCGGTGCAATTCTGGAATCTGCACCAGATGCGGAGTCGAAGAATGTCATGCAGCATTCCTGCTGCCACCGCGATGATCATTCGCTCTAAGGAAATTCGGACTGCACCTCTCACATGCTGATTCCTAGATCGCCCTCAACATTTATGCCTCGATACATCTTTCGAGTTTGTGGCAACCAACACACACACACACACACACACACCCACCTCTATCGTTCAAAATGATGTTTATGCAGAACACCAGTCCATGCATACGTGGATGTTCCAATATACAGCCTGTCATTGAGACACGTATGGAACAAAATGCCGTTCTAGACCTGATTGACATATGTGGATCTTCCAAGATGAACTTACCAGACCCGATCATTCATATTGCAAATGATTCTCTAGAAAAAGCCTTTCGCCTTGCAATGACTGCCAGTCACTTTCTAAACGTTTAGATGCTTTTCCCAGGAGACCATCTACAACTGTTGAACGTGTACGGATTTGCAAAAACTCACACGCCCGATTAATGATATGTATATATATGGTCACCCCCCCCCCCCCCCCATGATCTAGGTTTTGCTTTGTCCCTTTAAAAACCCTCGTAAATACCGATTAAAATGACATGCTGGCTATGCTAGGCGATGTCCTGTTTTTGCACGTCTAGTCCTATGCGAGAAAACCTGTAAATAGTGAAAAACGCGTGTGTTTAGCACTACTTCCACATCACCACATACAAAAAACACCCCAAAAACACTGGAAAATGCAATTTGGTAAACATGTCTATGAATTATTTGCATAGGACAGGCTTATAAACACAGAATTGTATGCAAAAAACACTTCTTTTTTGCAGAATTTGCAAATTTTGACACAAATACAAAAATCCAAAAATCCAACAATTCAAAACCATGGAGCCGGGAGGCCGCCTTTTTTGGATTTTT